TTAAGATAGATATGAATAAAATAGGATAGATAGATAGATAGATAGATAGATAGATAGATAGATAGATAGATATAAACATACTAAAACAGATATGAACAGACTAAGATAGATATGAACAAAATGAGATAGATAGATAGATAGATAGATAGATAGATAGAAACATACTAAAATAAATATGAACAGACGAAGATAGATAGATAGATATATAGATAGATATGAACAAACCAAGATAGATATATATGAATAAACTAAGATAGATAGATAGATAGATAGATAGATAGATAGATAGATAGAAAAATAGATATGAACAGACTAAGATAGATAGATAATCCTGGTCAAATAGACATCAAGGGCATTTTCCGGTCCCTGTCAGACATCAAGGGCATTTTCCCAGTCCGGTTAATTAGATATCAAAGGTATTTTTTCGTTCCTTGTAAAATAGTAATCAATGGTATTTTCTAGTCAAGGTCAAATATATAGATATATTTTTTCCGGTCCCGGACGACTAGACAACAAAGGTATTTTCCGATCCCGGTCAATTAGACATCGAGGGTATTTTTCCTGGTCACAGTCAATTAGATATCAAGGGTATTTTTCTAGTTGCTGTCAAATAGACATCAAGGGTATTTTTCCGGTCCCGGTGAAATAGACATCAATGGCATTTTCCGGTCCTGGTCAATTAGACATCAAGTGTATTTTGCAGTCCCTGTCAAATAGATATCAAGGGTATTTTTCCGGTCCTTGTCAAATAGACACCAGGGGTATTTTTCCGGTCCCGGTCAATTAGACATCAAAGTTATTTTTTCCGTTCCTTGTCAAATAGACATCAAGGGTATTTTCCAGTCCAGGTCAAATAGACACCAACGGTATATTTTTCCGGTCCCGGACGATTAGACATCAAAGGTATTTTTCCGGTCTCGGTCAAATAGACACCAACGGTATATTTTTCCGGTCCCGGACGATTAGACATCAAGGGTATTTTGCGGTCCCTGTCAGTTAGATATAAAGGGTATTTTTCCGGTCCCGGTTAAACAGACATCAAGTGTATTTTCCAGTCCCGGTCAAATAGGCATCAAGGGCATTTCGCGGTCCCTGTCAATTGGATATCAAGGGTAATTTTCGGGTCCCGGTCAAATAGACATCAAGGGTATTTTTTCGGTCCTTGTCACATAGACATCAAGGGTATTTTTCCGTTCCAGGTCAGATAGACATCAAGGGTCTTTTCCGATCCCTGTCAATTAGACATCAAGAGTATTTTTCCGGTCCCGGTAAAATAGACACCATGACTATTTTGCTGGTAAATAAAAATAGAGATTTAGAATGAAGAATCTATTATATTTGAGATTGCAGCGTAGTGGTTGTATGAGCTGTGTAGACAGGATTTTAACAACATGGATTCTGTTGTCGGTTACTTTTGTCTTCAATGGCTGCACCCAAAAATATATTGGCCAAGAGAATCATGCCTAGCGTAAGTTTTGAATTTGAAGAGACTGTTCTTAAGATATTCAGAGACGCCTATATTTCTTTTAATATTTGATGATGAATAAATGATTTTCAGTTGTGTTTTAATATTTAATGGTGGAAAAGATTTTAAATTGACTTAACAATTGATGGTGAAAATAAATAAATTTCTGTGTTAAATCTGTGTGTTGTTATTTTTAAAATTGCCTTCCTTCATGGTAATGAAAGAATTACCGGCAAATTAACAACAGTGTCTGTTTTAGCGAGAATGGTAAATTAAATTTAAAAAGCCTGTTTGTCTATTTTACCGGGGCCGGCAAAATAACCTCTTCCTATATAAATAAAAAAGCTAATATAAAGCGTAGAATTAGCCAAGGAAACTTAAAATCCGGGACGAGATTAGCGAGCAAGGAAATCCGTTCCCCCATTCTTAACTAATCACGATGCAAGCGGCACTGAGTTGATTAAGCGGCTTTAAAGAACATGCAAATCCATTAAATTCCTAGCCAATCAAAAAGCGTAGAAATTCCTAGCCAATCGAAACCGTAGGGAGCCGAGGAGACTACTTGAAAAAAATATTTTTCTGTGACAGGACAGTACTAATCTTCTACCATTCTGCGACCGCCCCCAGGTGCCCTTCCCATTGGGCAGTACCTCTCCTTTAGGCTGGTTTTATTGCCCTGAGCCTGTGGCGTCTCAAAAAGGGGTAATGCTGAGGGGGATTGACCACTTTTGGCACGGTATTGCCGTTAAACCCACTTTATACCTCGATATTATGTCACATTCATGAGCAACGTGGGCATGCTGAAAAATCGACGCTTCTATTACCCAAGGCAGTAGCTCTCCTTTACGAAGGGGCTGGGTTTATTGCCCCGCGCCTGATGCGTCCCTAAAAGGATAGGTGCCGAAGATCTTGGGCAATTTTTCTACGGTTGCGCCGACAAACCGACATTACACCAACCTTGTACCACATAACGTTTCGAGTGGGCGTTCATCAAAATCATCATCATCATCATCGTCTTTTTGTTATCGTATGTGGGGATTCGAATGCAGATGTTCCACTGAATCTCCTGCACAACAGTCTATCAACGGCAGCCATCAGAAATGTTGGTACAGTCATACTTGTCCATTGTTTGACATTGTCCAACCAGTTTTTACGTTGGCGTCCTCTCTTATGTCTACCTTCAATGGTGCCTTGAATGATGATCTTGCACAGGCTGTTGTGCCTTGTAATGTGTCCAAACCACGCCATTTTTCCCCGTCTGACAGTGACGAGAAGAGGTTCCTGGTGGCCCAGAAAACTTTCACCCCTTTTCAGCACAAACTCATTGGTTTTATGTTCCCAATAGAAGATGCCAAGGAGTTTACTCATGCATTTGTTCTCAAACGCTTGGATCCTTCTCTCTGTATCTGATAACAGTGTCCACGTTTCACATTCATATAGGAGAATGGAGACGACCAGCGATTTGTACAGTCTGTACTTCGTGGCCGAGTGGTTAGAACGTTCGCATTCTAGTCATCAGACCCGGGTTCGAATCTCACCATGGTCGATTTGTCAGCAAGTAGATTTCCTGATGTTACCGGACTCGATAGCAGCGTTCGGCACCTTTGGAAGTGCCTGAAAACCATACCACAGGTTGATTCAAGCCTTGTGAGTGAAATTGGGTAGAAGAATCCCTTGGGGGACGTCGGTAGCTGTGCTAGCTAGAAGTCACAAGTCACCGTGGCCGAGGGTTTCATCACGTTAGATAACACGCTATTTCCCAGAAACAGTAACTAAGGTCTGCTCAGCTTAGTTTCAGAATAAACCAAAGATGGGCTCTGTGGGTGTTCAATAAACACAAATGCGCCTGAGAAAGCGTCTGCAATAGGGATTGGCTCGCCGCCTTAATAGACGGGTATCTTCGAATACGAGTGGCCAGCTATACATACTTCTTTTGAAAGCTGATTTTCCTCCTTCATAGCGTTGAAAATATTCAATAGTAAACCTCTTTTGATACCTGCGTCAGAGTAAAGCCAACATCCTACTTTTTCAAAACCTTGATTTACAATCTTAATCGTCACTTTAACAATTTTTCATAGTTTACTTCTATTTTACCGTTTCTGGGTGTAACATTTTGCTGTTTTTATACGCTTCTGATTTCGGTGTCATGTTTTCTATCGTCTTTTATTGAAACCATGATTCAATTTCAATATTTCAGGAAATTGCAGCGTTAGAATTTAATTCCAGTGATCAGTTAAAGCCTTAAAACAAATCCTAATACAATTTATAATTGAAATATAGGCAGATAGTTGGTTTGACATTAAAAGAGATAATAGATTCCTTAATCAACAAATATATATTTTTTCATCATGATCCAAAGAATTAAACAACAGTTGACCGAAATACAGAAGTTTGTATTAAAAAATTTGCAGCACAATGTAATTGACTTGCTTTCAAAAATATTCTTTTCTCAGATGAAATGACGGTGAGGGAAGTGGCTATAAAAATGTTGTCGATTAGTAAAGCAGTTATTCATACTTAGTTATGTTAATGTATAAGAATAATTTTGAAATTTAATTCAAATTACTTCGTAAAATCTAACTAAGTATGGGTAAATTTTCCAATGAAAATATTAGGTTGGTGCCAAAATAATGACGTAAGAATGTCGTTTTTTGACGTTAAAAAATACGGCAAAAAACGGCATTATTACGTCATTATTTTTGCAACAACCTAATATTTGTTTGTTTTTGAAGTGGCGAGCCACCAAAGAAGAACGTTCTTGCATTCATCAACTCTGAAGCGACACACTGGTCAAATTTGATTAACCTCCCACAAAACAGAGTTTGTGAACTTGTGCTTGCAGAGGGATTTTTCAAATAATTAATTACAAGAGATTCTAATGAATGGAATGACGTTAGAGATGGTGAATTTGCCTGCATACTAGCAAAGTGTGGAAAGAACAATTAAATTAAATACTGAAGCTTCACAAATCGTATATGCACAAGAAACGACGCACAAGCCCATCATTATTAAAACACTGCGCCACCAAATAAAACTTTCATTTACTTCAAACGACATTTATACTGAACAATTTAGCCATATTATTATATATTCTTATATATAAAGTACAGTTTATCTGTCTGTGTGTGTTTGTGTCCAAACAACTCCTCCGTTCATTCTGGTCCACTTTCAATGATTCATAGCAAATTCAAAAGCTCGAGAAAAATTAGTCACGGGGAACGATTTTCGTTTAGCTCAGATTCAGGGTTGCCAGATTATGCGAGGTTAAAAATAGATATTAATATATTATAATAGCGATTATCGTTACTTTCATGATTCAAAGGGAGTAACTCTTATTTTCCTTTTTTATCCCAAATTGCAGCTAGCTTAAAATTTTAAGCTAGCTTACAAGACGCCCTCACGGGCGAAGTTTAAACTAGTTCCTATAGAGGACTCTTGGTTTGCCCATCATCACATACCTAGGGAAGAAGTGATACGATAGAAAGAACTCAAAATTGATCGCTAAATTTAAGTATTGACAATGTTTAAGCATACCTTTTAAAAGTTCAACGATAATTCTTCTGCTGCCACTTAATTTGATTGTACACAGATACTTATTTTCCGTAGAAACAGTCATTTTTATTTCAAGGGTGACAGAACAGGGGACAATTTATAAGATAAAATTAATATAATGTAAAGATTGGAAAATAGAAATTAAGTATACATTCAACATTTGAAGAGTTAGAGAAACATAATAGGAAATTAAGTAAAATCTACATTATATAATCTATATGAATAATGTGATATTGGTGCTTAATTCTCCCACGAATTCTGAGATTAAAAAAAAAAAAAAATGCTCAGATTTACTTTATAGAAATTTACACACGAATAGATCAATATCTGTATTTTATATTATCTACTTCTAGGTGATATCACTCTTCAGGTTTATCTAATTTGCATATTGATTTTTAAAAAGCATATTTCATTAATTAAACTGTCCTTCATTAATGTTCTTTTATTCGAGCATTGTTTTGATTTTCGTATCAAAAATAATTCTGTTTAGGAATATCGTCTTATATAGTGCAGAAAAGTGTCTGAAATTTGCATTTTATTTAACCTTCAACAAGTTGGCATCTATTTGTAAAACTTCCCTTAATTATAACAAGCCAATTTATGAATGAAATTGGTATTTAAAATTTTTGTTTCAAATATTTCAAGTAGTGATTATATATTACTTTGCGAAGCGACAGCGAACGAGCGAAACCTTCTAGTATATTATAAAGAACAGTTTTAGTGTGATTTTCAATAAACAATGCAAATTTAATACATTTGTATAATACAAAAGTATCACATTTATTTGGATTTATTGTTGAATTAGTAAAGTATTTCTGTAACTGTTTTCAGGGGATTTTTAAAACTGAATGCTAAAAGTTCGGTAAAAGCTACTGATCTATTTGTTGGTGTCAATAGATATCACCTCAAACCATAGCTTTTGCATCGAGTGCAATGGTGATAATCTAAAATAAAGTGAAAGATCAAGTCACTGTATTAAATATACACAAGGTTGAGTTGAAATGTTTCACACAAATATAAACTAGTAGTAATATTAACTCAAATTAATATTAAAATTAAACGTTCTAAAAATGACCATCATTCTGTTGTTAACTGGGGCAGGAAATGACTTGTTAATTTTAACGAGTCCAAAGTGAAATTACTTTCTTTTGTCTGAGAATATTTTCACCTTCCATCAGCCTGACGAGGCTAACCTGCAGGAAATTGCGACTTCTCAGTGTAACTTTTGCTACTGAAATGACGAGGAAAGATTATACTGAATAAACTGATAGATCTACTGCAAGAAATCTTGGTTGCCAGCGTTGCCAGCGTCGTGCGAGGCAATTTTTCTCAGCACAATTTTTATTATACATTTATAAGTTTACCATTGGTTTGAACATTACTGCCACATCTAGTCTTGTGTTCCTATATATTTAAAGATTCTTGAAAAAATCCAAAGAAGAATCTGCAATATTATTGGTCATGACCTGGCATCTCGGTTTCATTAAATTTCCCGCCGCCGTAACGTAGCTTTTCCTGTGCCTTTTCTCTTAATATTTTCATGGAAATTCTTCTGATGAAGTTTCTTCTGTAGTACCCTGATTTATGAATTTAAGCGCAAAATTAGATTGGCGGCAAGGTCTCATCATTTTTCAGTTGAAATGCTTAGATGTAACCGTAAGTTCTATACTAGCGTTTTCTTCTCTGGCACATCTCGCTTGTGGAACTCTCTTCATTCTTTCCAGGCTTTTGAACTTCAAACATTTAATTGCTAATTCAGTAATCACCCCTCTAGAATCTTAGTAACTTTATCGCCTTGTTTGAGATAGATAGATAGATATGAACAGAATGAGATAGATAGATAGATAGATAGATAGATAGATAGATAGATATGAGCAGACTGAGATAGATAGATAAACAGATAGATATGAACAGAGTGAGATAGATAGATATATAGATAAATAGATAAATATGAGCAGAATGAGATAGATAGACAGATAGATATGAACAGAGTGAGATAGATAGATAGATAGATAGATAGATAGATAGATAGATAGATAGATAGATATGAACAGAATGAGATAGATAGATATGAACAGAATGAGATGGATACATAGATAGATAGATAGATAGATAGATAGATAGATAGATAGATAGATAGATAGATATGAGCAGAATGAGATACATAGATAGATATGAACATACTAAAATAGATATGAACAGACTAATATAGATAGATAGATAGATAGATAGATAGATAGATAGATAGATATGAGCAAACAGAGACAGATTTTATAAGCTGAATAGACGAACTGAGGTGTGTCTGAAGTTGTGGTCAGGAAGACAGTATTGTTCGCATCTTTCCGATGTGGACATTTACCCGTAACCGACATTCAGTATTCGGAATAATGGTTTTTACTGGTTCCACGGTCTGCTTGTTAAGTTCGTAAATAGAAGTTGATAGGTGGCGCCACAGATTTTATCTTGAGCGTAAGTCTACACGACCTTTTGATTCGGGAAAGCCAAAATAAAAGATATAAAATTGTATTTCTTATGGATTTTCCGAAAGGCAACAATCGTGAATATATGATTAACTTCACAAAATCCGATTAGAAACGGCAGGCATTTAAATTATGACCAGCGCTTGTAAACTTTTGCATTTAAACAGAAATTTCCAATTCTGGTAGAACAGATTTTTTTTCGTAATAGTCGGCATCCCTGTCTCCAAGACTGGCTCTGCTTGAAATGACATTATGATCTTATGTCTGTTGTTACATATTTTCTTAATAGCCATTTGTTGAACTCATAGTTTTATTTCTAAACCAATCCGCAAAGTGCGATAAAATGGAGTCTTTGACACATCACGGTGTAGTTGTAGTCATAGAAAGAAAAAAATCACACGTCAAAATGTCCAAGTAGCGTAAAATCGTAATCGGCGAGTCGTGTTCAAATCCCTGTCTAATCTGTTGCATTCACTTGCACACAAATGCCTTTGAGAATATCATGAATCTATCTGTTCTAAGCCAAGCTATGAGTTAAATAACAACATGGGCTCTTTATCTTTGAATAGACGCCAATGTCGGCTAAACATACGACACTCTTCATTCCCAGGAATTTCTAGCAATTCGCAGCAAAAAAAGAAATAACTGAAGAACGTTTTGACAAGATATAGCGTTAAAAAATATTCCGTGTTTGATATTCGGACTTAGAATGGAGAGAGAAATTGAAACCGAAAAAGGAACACGGTTTTATTGTTTCAAATCGCCTGACCAATTCAGCACAAAAGGAGATACACTCGACATTCGCAAAATGAGCAAAAACTGGATCGAGCCTTCTGTTTAAAAAGAGTTTAATCTTGTTTAAATACAATAAATTCAAAGTTAATATGCGATGGGTTTAAAACTAAATCCGACGACGAACACCACGCACACGCGCCGAGCGTCGTTCGTTACGTTCGGAAAGCAGAGGCAAGAGTCGACTTTCGAATCGGAATTGCGGTAAAACGCAACCAAGTGCACAGGTTCATTGTCAGGAAGGGCCAGCCACCCGCTAGAGACCGCCCCGACTGCTTGGTTATGCGTGTACACAGAATAAGCATTGTCATCATCAAACGAAAATAATTTTACAACAAGCCATTCAGGGATCCTTATTTTTAATCAAGGCAGATTTTATCCTCTCGTCTTCAGTATTTGTCGATCTGGTTAACCTTCAGGAAATCTCAAATTGATTTGGACGATTTCTTCAAAGATGAAGAAGAGACTCAAGGCGAAAGAGATGTGGTTCTACAGAAGGATGCTAAGGATATCATGAACCGAGCGTGTGAGCAACGATGAGAACTTAGAGAGATTGCAAACAGAGGAGAATGATAGTAAATATCAGAAAACAATGCGTGACATATCAACAGACTTGAGTAAATGGATGACAGAACGTGGTCTGGGGGAGGAAGCAGAGAGAAGAAAATTGTTGAGAGCTGCAAGGGATAGAGGAAGGTGTGGAGAGCTATGATCGCCTACGTCCTTAAAGGATATGGCACATAAAAAAAGAAAAGATTTAATGTAGAGGTTAAGGAAATAGTTTGTTTTTGTTCTACTCTCCATGTCTAGTGATTTAACTTTTGTTGAGTATAGCTGACAGGAAGGCAAGAAACCAGAAATTAGTTCCATATATGAGAAGTGTAAAAGAAGAAAATTGCTAGCATTAAAACTTAGAAAATATTAAAATTATTGCTCAGTTACTGCCTTGTTTTCATCTATTTATTTACCTGATGTTTAACGTCTGTACAGACAAAAGCTTAGCCCTAACTTACAGATGTTGCCATAGTGTAATAAAAAGAAAAATAAATTTGCATAATAAATTAAGCAAACAGCAAGTTTGAGTGTTACCAATACAATTACATTGAGAAATGTCTGGCTATAATACTTCAACATATACGAGACATTGAAATCTTTTATTCAATGGCTTTCCTGGTTTTGAACACTTTAATCAATCAAGACTTATTTACACAATTCATATTCAGACTGTTTTCCTCATGTACAGAGAATTCCTAACTGAAATTTTTATTTAATCTATGGAGACAGACTGTTCTCGTTCCACTGCCCATGTCTCGGGATATCTCGTCTAGTTCTTCTTTTTAGTTTTGCTCACTTATTTCTCGTTTTGTTTCTACGCAGCACACGGTCCAGGGATTGAACTGAACACTTTAATCTATGGAGGTAGACTGTCTTAAAAATGGAATTCAAAAAGAATGAGAGTGATTTAATTCTCTAGACATGGCAGGTCTTAGCTGTAAAAGTCTGAACTAGTGGAACTAAATTATGTATCTTGTCAGAATATTTGCCATAGAAAGAGAAGGAATAAGCATTTTTCTTGTTATCTCAACGTTTCGGTCATTTTACCCTCAGGTCTTCAGTATTTGTTGATCTGGTTAACCTTGAGGAAATCTCAAATTTAATCCTTCATTTAATGTATAGATAGAGGGAATAGATTTGTCTTGTTCCATTGTCCATGACTAGGTATTTAGCTTTTTGTTGAGTATATTTGACAGGAAAGAAAAAAAAACAGAAATTAGTTCCATATATGAGAAATGCAACGAATGACAACTGTTAGCATTAAAACATAAAAACTATTAGCATTATTTCTCAGTTATTGTCTTGTTTTCATCTATTTATTTACCTGATGTTTAACGTCTGTACAAACAAAAGCTTAGCCCTGATTTACAGATGTCGCCATAGTGTAATAAAAGAAAAAATAAATTTCCATACTAAATTAACCAAACAGCAAGTTTGAGTGTTCCCAATAAAATTACACTGAAACATTTCTGACTATTATACATAAACATATACGAGACATTTAAATATTTTATTCAATGACTTCTGGTTTTTAATATTGTTTAATCAATTAAGAATTATTTACCCAATTCACATTCAGACTAGCCATTTCAACTGCAAAACTATGTCATATCTAACAGACTTGAGCAAGTGGATGACAGAACGTGGTCTGGGGGAGGTAGCAGAGAGAATGCAATTGTTGAGAGTTGCAAGGGATAGAGGAAGGTGTGGAGAGCTAGGATCGCCTACGTCTTAAAGGATATGGCACATAAAAAAGAAATGATTTAATGTAGAGGTTGAGGAAATTGATTGTTTTTGTTCCAGTCTCCATGTCTAGTGATTTAACTTTTTGTTGAGTATAGCTGACAGAAAAGCAAGAAGCCAGAAATTAGTTCCATATATGAGAAGTGTAAGAGAAGAAAATTGCTAGCATTAAAACTTAAAAGCTATTAAAATTATCGCTCAGTTATTGTCTTGTTTTCATCTATTTATTTACCTATTGCAGAACCGGGATTGTACATTCGCGGTGAAAACAACTGCATCTTCAACGCTTGTTAAACGCTTGTGTCGTGAAGCAAAAATATTTGCCCGTGAACTGCTTTCAAATGTTTGTGATTTCCAATTTGTGTGGAGTCATCTATCTCTGATCAGTCAGTCACTTGTGTGCCATGCGTGATAAAAAAAAAAAAAAAAAAAAATAAGCAAAGAAAGAAAGAAAAAAGAGAGAAAGAAAAATAAGCAAATAAAAGACAGAAGAGAAGAAAGAAACGGGGGCAAACAAAAAAGAAAAAAAATAATACTAAGTAAAGAAAGAAAATATGAGCAAAGAAAGAAACAAAGAAAAAAGAAGGAAAAACAAGCAAAGAAAGACGGAAGCCAAGAAAGAAATATAAACAAACAGAAAGAAAGAAAGAAAGAAAAAAAGAAAAAAAATAGGCACAGAAAGAAAAATAAGGAAGGAAAGAAAAATAAAAAAAAGCAAGCAAGAAATAAAAAAATAAACACAGAAAAAGGTAAGAAAAAAAGAAACAATAAAAAAAGGAAAAATATGGATGTGAGAAACACGTGAAGAAAGAATAAAAATAAAAGAAAAAACAATTTTAGAAATCTGGAAAAAATGAGAGAAACAAAAATTCGATCGTGACCCAGTCAGTCACGTGTCATGCGTGATACATGCTTAAGCAATCATGTATCGAAAGATACATGACTGACGAGGCAGATTTTTTTTTTTCCCACAGTAGTTTGCCATTTCTTACTGCGGTAGACCAGTTGCCATCCAAGGCTATAGAACCCGGTTTGTCCTATTTACCCATAGCTTTCAGAGAAGAAGAAGATTCATACCCTTCAAAGGGTATTAGCACGTAAGCGAATTTCACTCAGTTATATGTCATGCGTGATACACGCTTAGGCGATCATGTATCTTTCGATACATGACTGACGAGGCAGATTTTTTTCCCACAGTAGGTTGCCATTTCTTACTGCAGTAGACCAGTTTCCATTCAAGGCTATAGAACCCGGTCTGTCCTGCTATTTACCCATAGATGGGGGGGAGGAGAAGAAGCGGGTTCATACCTTTCCAAAGGGTATTAGCAAAGAGTAATGGGTTAGACTGGAATTATAATTGATTTTTACCCAATCCTGTCCAGTACTCCTAATTATGAACGCTGTTACATAATTCCATCAAACATTGATCTAACATTAAGCATGTTTTAAGAAAACTTTATATATTACTGAATGATAAGATAAAAAAGCAAATAGTAAACGTTTATGAGTCTAACATGTTTCACATGTTTATATGTCCTTTAGCTTATCATTCTGACAGATTCTGATCGATATTTGATCTCAACTTATAATACTGAATGTAATACATATTTCTACCTGCACTATTATCGACGCCACGCAGTAGGGGTATTTTGCTTATCAATTAACCTGCATAAACATATTGATTCGTTAAAAGTATTCTTTTATACAGACTTATGTAGTTTTCACTGGTAAGTTTTCTATAGAAATGATGCACTAGGTTAACAAAATGACTTTTTCGTACATTGAGTGCGACATAACTTTCGAAAGTATTTGTAAAGAATACGAAATGAAATGACTTCAGGTGTTTTAATCTAAGGTGCTGACTATATAGCGTCTACATTGGCTGTCTGCCATGATTTACTAAAACGAATTTTGATAAAAATAAAAGTAGATTCAATACGATGATAGATAGATAGATAGATAGATAGATAGATAGATAGATAGATAGATATGAACCTACTGGGGTAGATAGATAGATAGATAGATAGATAGATAGATAGAAAGAAAGAAAGAAAGAAAGAAAGAAAGAAAGAAAGAAATGGGCAGAATTAATTAAATTAGTTTGTTTTGGTTTATTTTGTTTTACGTCATATCAACCTCAATGGTTTATTTGATGCCGACAAGATTTTTATGGTTGGTAATATTTTTTTCCAAGATGTATTGCTGCTAATATTTTCTCTTCAAAACTGTATTACTGGTAATATTTTTTCTTCAAAAATGTGTTGTTCCTAATATTTTTTCTTCAAAAATGTGTTGTTCCTAATATTGTTTCTTCAAAAATGTGTTGTTCCTAATATTGTTTCTTCAAAAATGTACTGCTGGTAATCTTTTTTCTTCAAAAATGCATTGCTGGTATTAAATTTTTCTTCAAAATATATTGCTGGTAATAATTTTTCTTTTAAAAAAATGTATTGCTGCTAATTTTTTTTCGAAAAAGGTATTGCTGGTAATAATTTCTCCTTCAAAAATTCATTGCTGGTAACATTTTTTTTACACTTTCATAGTATTTTGACCCCAGTTTGGGGGGGGTTAACTATTTGCCCATAGCCGTGACCCTAACAGTTGCTACCACACCCGGTCAAGGTGGACCAGCAATTAAGAGATGGTTCCATGCTCCTCAAAGCCTCCCTGATCAGAGGCTTTGCAGTTGGATTTAGTTTATCATCTTACCCAGAACGCATATGTAGTTTATCTTTATAACCAGGACGCTAGTAAATTAGTAAAAGGAAAGAACGAGATAAAAGAAACTAATAAAGAGAGAAATAAACACAGAAAAATAAATATGAAAATACTTCGTTGCCTAGTGATTGCAAGTTCAATCCCTGGACCTGGCAATGTGTACTTGGATTTAGTGGAAACAGGACGAGCAATAACTGAGCAGTACTAAAAAATAAGAACTAGACGAGATATTACAAGACACGGGCAGTGCAACAAGACCAGTCTACCCACGTAGATTAAATAAAGGGTTCTGTTCGAAATTATTTGGAGGTTATCCAGATCGACATGTACCTGATGAAGGCCGAAAGACACAACAACCGAAACGTTGTAATAACAACAACAACGCTGAGGATAATAGTTCTTCTGTAAATTGTGTAAATAATGATGACTCTCCATCGCAGAAATTCAAACAGAGAAAGAAATATAGAAAAAGTATGAAAGAAAAAAAAGTAAAAAAAATTGACAGAAGTGAGAAATATAAGCCGACTGGAATAAAAAAGAAAGAAAGAAAAATAAGCAAAGAAGGAAAAAAGAAACACAGACAGACAGAAAGAAAGAAAGAAAGAAAGAAAGAAAGAAAGAAAGAAAGAAAGAAAGAAAATGAGTAAAGGAAGAAAACAATAAGCAAACAAAGGAAGAAAATGAGAAAGAAAATGAAAAAACAGAAGGAAAGATGAAACACGGCAGACAGAAAGAAAAAAGAAAGAAAAAGGTAAAGAAAGAAAGAAAAAATAAGCAATGAAAGAAAAAAGAGTGAATGAAAAATAGGCAAATAAAAGACAGAAGGAAAGTAAAAAAAAACACGGACAGACAGAAAGAAAAAGTAAGACTAAGTAAAGAAAGAACATATGAGCAAAGAAAGAAACAAAAAAAGAGAGAAAGAAAAATAAGCAAAGAAGGACAGAAGCCAAGAAAGTAACATAGACAAACAGACAGAATGAAAGAAAAAAGAAAGAAAGAAAAATAGCAAAGAAAGAAAAATGAAAAAAAGAAAGAAAAATAAGGAACGAAAGAAAAATAAAAAAGCAAGCATGAAATAAAGAAAAACAAAATAGGAAAAAACAGAACAAGAAATAAAGAAAAACAAAAAATGGAAAAAAAAAAACAGAACAAGAAAAAAAGAAAAATATGAAACAAAGAAACAAGAAAAGAAAGAATAAAAACGAAAGAAATTTTTTTTTAGAAATATGGAAAAAAGAAAGAAAAAATCGATCGCTACTCAGTCAGTTATGTGCCTTGCATGATACACGCTTAGACAATCATGTATCTTTCGACACATGACTGACGAGGCACATTTTTTCCCGCAGTAGGTAGCCATTCTTTCAGCGGTAGACCAGTTGCCATCCAAGTGTATAAAACCTGGTCTGTCCAGCTATACTCATAGCTGGGGGTAGAAGAAGAGGATTAATACCTTTCCCAAGGGTATTAGCACGTAAGTGAATATAACGAATTCGACTGGCATTCGAACTCGGGTCCCTGATTTCTCAATCCGAGCCGCTATCCATTACTCGGTTCTTAATTGATATAGATAAATATAAATCAAAGAGAAAAAGGCGATATAAAAACAATGAATCCAAATATATTGATAGGAATCGATCAAATAGATGTCCAGATATTTGGCTGGATACTTAAATGTCCGGAGCCATGATCGACCAAAACCATTTATCGCTCACTGACTTAATTATCACTCTTTCTCTGCTCTATAAAACACGTGATTGATTTCAACATTATTGCTGCCGCGTCCTCATTATCCCAATCGACCATATTTAGATGCTTTTCCTTCCTCCATCTCGCGCTTCAGAAATTAGTGGCAACTAATTTGGTAAAAATAACTTATGGTATAATGGACAAACTTTTCAGAAATTAAGAAAACAACAAAGACAATAGAAAAATGCAAATATTTGATCTAAAAAAAAAAATGAAAAAGCCAAAAATATCAACATTTACACTATTTATATTCCGACAATTGTTTTCGTCATTGTTAGCACGACGATTCGACTGTTGTGTTCTTCATCAGTGAATGAAGAACTGAAGCTTTTACTTAATCTACAGACTATTCTCATTCTACTGTTCATATTTAGGGATGTCTCATCTAGTTCCTATTTTTAGTACAGGTCAGTTATTGTTCGCCCGTTTCCAGTGAAACCAAATGTACAATGCCCGGCTAAGGGATTGAACTGAGTCCTTTAATTAATTTACGTTCCACTGCTTGTGTCTCGGGATATATCGTTTAGTTCTTCTTTTAAGTACTGCTCACTTATTGCTCGTTTTGCTTCTACTGAATCCAAATACACACTTCCCGGAGCCAGGGATTGAAATGGGTCCTTTAGTTAATCTATGGAAGGTAGAATGTTTTCGATCCATTGACTGAGATGATTGCAAGTCAGCGAACTGTCTGATTATGTCTGTTTTTTTCTTAGCCGGGTCTTTATCCGAAGACAGAAACACAACTGAGTTACCCTTCGCCCGAAGACGGAGGACTTGTGAGACGAATCGCCTGGAAAGAAAGAAAATATATACCAGAAACTTTACTTGATTTCAGTGATGAAATGAATGAATGAAAGAAGATGTTAACCTCGCCTGTCAATACCTCATAAATAATAGACTATTCCTTCTTGATCGCATGGAAAGAAAAAAAAGATATACCTGAAACACTACTTGATTTCAGTGAGTAAATGAATGAATGAAAGAAAGAAGTTTTTAAAGTCACCTGTCAATACCTCATAAATAATGGACTATTCCGTTTTGATCGCATGGAAGGAAGCAAGACATATTACCGACGCTGTTTGATTTCAGTGTGAAAATGAAGGAAAGAAATATCTAACGTCTGTTTCAGTGAAATGGAAATTATTGTCAATTTCAAATCTTTTCATTTGTAAAAAAAAAATACTTCTTAAAGACCGGCACTGAAAATTCTGATTGTTATCGCAATATTTTGTCAAAGTTGTTAAGCTCAAAAGTTTAACGATGCGATTGGAATGCCTGCAGATATATTATTATTACCGTAGAATTCTCTATGAGTTTATTCATTTATTAACTGAAGAATTAAAGTCCATCAGAAATTTCAAATAGGAAAATCGAGGTAGTGTAACGGGTTTTCCTAGCATGGAACAAGGAAAATACTCCATCTTGGAACTGATAACGGACTGTCGGACTTAGCTCCTCCTTAATTCCCAAATTGTCACTAGGGGTCATTCTCCTTATATTATAAATACTGGGTGACTTCTCGCCTCGTTCTCTTTTTCATTTCTTCATTTCAGCGACTTCAATGTAAGCTCTCTTAGAAGATCCGCGTCCTCCCATTTGTGGGAGACGCCATAAACATTATACACACATACGCGTACGTACGAACATTCACTGAAGAACAGACGCAAACGTTCACACACACACAAATATTATTGTCTATGTCCATTGTCAAGTTATTTCGCTTAATACATATATTTTTTAAAGATATTTTATGTTTATACATTCTTTTTTTATATAGATACAAATATATAAGTAAATGCTCTGTTTTATAATAAACAGTATTAATAACATTTACCGGCCTGTATGTCCGAGAAATTTTCATAGAAAATATTCGTCCTCCGACAGAAATCGAACCTATATATACGGAAACGTCATATAGTCTGACGTGCCTTAACCGATTGAGCCACAGAGGATCGTTCGGTTAGCAAGGACGATTTTACTGCTTGTAAACTACAATCTTCCATGAATCAAGCTATATGACTATATAATTTAATATAGTGGCCCTTCTTCTCAATAACAGCCATTAATCTATTATTTATTGTTTTCGCTCATTTTTTTTTAACTTTAGCAGATTCATTTTCTGACATGATAGTTTTAATTGCTTTCCACAGGCCTACTTTTCTGTTGTATTGTTTGCCACCTTCATATAATTTCATCTTCACAATTAACCATAGATTTTCGATCGGATTCAGATCAGGACTTGATGGTGGCCATTCCATTATCTTATCTCCTGTAAATCTTTTACGCTCAAAGAATTCATGTGTAAGCTTAGGTACATGGGAAAGTGCATTGTCGTGCATAAATACATACTTCACTTTGCAAATGCGAGACTGGCACTTGTACCATGCAAAGAAAGTCGCAATAATTAGCACTTTTCAGTTTAAAAACTTCATCGATTTTGAAAGGTCTAATAATGGTTTGGTCCACAGCTCCAGCCCATGACACAAGACAACTGCTTCCTTGTTGCCTTATTTTAACCACAAGCACGTACTGAATTGGATATAATCCATACTTTTGCCCATCCATGAGGTCTATCAAATGTCACCTCAAATTCATCCATGAAAAGTACTTTAGAAAAGTCAATTTTCAGGTATTTCGTGGTCGAATTTTGACGCTTTAAAATATTTGCGTTAGTGACAGGAGATTGTGAATGAGATTGTCTTTTTTACAGATCCCAACGTATTCTACACAATTTGTCATTTTCGACTACTTCAATTGCAGCCTTTTGAAAGATCTGAGCGATGGTCAAATATGTTTTTTTTCGCTATAACTCGTATTAGTTTACGTCTATCTCGAGAAAGCAAGTTATTAAAGACTTTTCCTATACTTCGAGTTCTCAACTTATATTTTCAACAGCCTTCTTTATCGTTTCAATATCTCTGCAAAGCACCTTTGATATCTCCAATGTGGCTATTAAGCCACTCAATATCTTTGTTATTCTCCGTTTCTCTGAAGTTTTTAGATCCTTCCCTTTTACCTATGTTTCAACATATATTATGGACAAAAAATGGAGTTTTTTTTTATTAGATTTCAGAGGGCTTAAGCTAATATTTGTTTAATCTTCATATTAACTTCAGTCGGTCCATTTTTGTAAAAGAAATCTTAGAAACTACCCATTAAAAATGTCAGAAAATTTCGTTAAATATTTTACTAAGGTTCAAAATGGACGTGCTTACAAGTGACAAATATTTGTTCAGATCTTTTGTATTATTGAGGCTTATTTGCATAATAACTTTAGATTGACTATAACGTCCACAACCTTCTTCTGCACATATCTCTATGAACTGCACCTCTCTAACCTTCTATTTCGATTGGATCTTGGAGTTCATTCAGTGTGAATATTGTATCAATTTTTTTAAAAATCACATGACTACATGACTGGAAAGTATTTCGGAAACCGAGTTCCAAGAAAGTTTCCAGCAATAGCTCTATCGTTTCCTGAAGTGTATTCTTTCAAAAGATGAATAATATTAAATCTTAGCGATTTAGCAAAATGGCTGACTGTATATTATTAACAATACCAAGATCTATTGTGCTGTTCACATTTTTCAAAAGTAATGCGTCTTCTTGGAGACATTTTCAAATAATTTCATTCCTTTTTTTTCATTAGATTATTGACATTACGAAATTCTGTAATTTGTACTTTCTTCTCCATGCATAGATTACAATATTTGATATGTTTGCGGGACGAGCTGAATGAAGAGCTCTCGTGCCGATTTACTTCAAATCACATTGCGAAATAATACAATATCAAAATTTTGCATAAAAGGATTCTCGATTGGTGTCTGATGTCCTGATATAAAGTATTTACATTATCACTAAATATTGTTACATCGAAGAACTGTTCTAATTTAATAACAGCTGATCTAATCGCAGATAGCTGTCTATTGAACTGTATATATTTACGACAGACCATCTTACTCCAAAAAGAAGTGCTGAAAAGTTCTAGGCCTTCCCCCCCTTCTCAACAAATTTGTTTATTTAGCAAGTTACCTGGGCCGAGAACTCTTCAGCATCTGCTCGTACAATAATTAAAGAATGTGATAGCCTTTAATCATAAAAATGATTAAATATTCAGTATTTGCAAGAAAAAATTCAGCCA